CTAGACCGACTTGCGTCGCTAGATCGACTTGCGTCGCTAGACCGACTTGCGTCGCTAGACTGACTTGCGTCGCTAGATCGTCTAGCCAAACGAGGAACTGAGTTAAGTCGACATAGCAACATGGTTACACACATATCTACAGCCAGAGTTGTCCAAGAGGATCGTCGAAGAGGATCTATAGATGGTGTGTGAGTAGTCGTCAGGAGATGTCTATGGGAATCTCCAATGAAAATCTGAGTATGTTGTGACACGGGGCTACCCTACTGGTTTAAGAGATGTCATTAACCGCTGTCTCTACATAAAACTATAAATAGTTTTGTCGTTGCTCAAAACTTAAATATAGATCTTCTCTGGTTGGGCGCCGTCAGCTGCTTATATTAGATTTCACTTTTTCTAGGTGGCACAGCGGGGAACACCGGGAACGACTGGGCCGCATGATAAAGAACTTTTTGATGTTTTTAAATTCTCTTCAACGCGCGGTATCAAGTAAACGCTGAAGACTATACAAGTGTGGAACATCCCATATCTCTTCAAAGCAGCCACTCTGATGCCTGGATGTGTCTATGACTGTCAACGCAGGCACGTCGATACAGGCACTGTTCTCGACTGCAGCTTTCGGAATGGCGCTCTTCTAGCCGCGGGAACTGTGTTTATGATACAAGGAATACTTTGGGCATCTCGCCTGATCGGCACCTACGCCAGAGAAGGTTCTCTGCCATGGGCCGGCTATAACCTTCAGGTCTGTTTATTGCCTAACATGCAGACACACAAGAGCTACCCTTGTACAGATCTACGGGGGTTACTTCCTAATAGTTATCATCCTCCTTCTCTATTGCTCATCATGTCGCGTTTGGCATACATTCGGCATCGACTATGCTTCTATATTCTCACATGGTCCAGACCACTGCCTTAACTGGAGACAAGCCGCCGAGGTTAGATCTGTATTTCTTAGAGAAAGTCCGAGCTAACAGTAAGCAGCTACCTTGCTGGAACTACTTCGTCCTTGGACTCACTTTGACCATAAACTTTTACTTCGTGAGAAGCGACAATTTCTTTCAATACTATCTAGCTGCACTTATTAGCATTTCTGTCTTGCTTTTTCTCACTCCATTCAGAATATGTTATCATACGAGTCGTATGGGCCTAATCAGATCTCTTGTGAGTAGTTCAAATACAAAGTGATGCCGAGTTGCACGATGTTAATTCATCCGAAGCGGTGTGTGCGCCTTGCCGGAATATATCGCGTTGAGTGGTGGGACGTCTACGTTGCAAATATGCTCTGTTCACTCACGTATAGCACTGGCGTGAGATCCACTCCAAGGATCCCTATAGCTGCATCTAATGTCTAACTACAGAACTTGTCATCGTTTTTCTGCCTTTACGCACTGAAGGGGACCGATCCTGGAAAATGCGACTCGTCTCATTCACGCATGCTGGGCTTCATGACCACACTTCCTAGTGGCATATGAATGTACAAGAAGCCCGGCCTCTCACCTCTCGGCGTTTTTCCGATCTGGAATCTTCGGAAGCATGGACAAAATGCCGCAATTGTGCTCTGCAGTGACGACATATCAGTGCAACACACAGCCAGCCAAATGCACATGGTCCATGCATGGGTCTTGTAGTGCCTCAGTATGTCTTTTCTACTTCTGCTTGCTGCAGTGCCGCTGGGACACAGCGTCAAAGCGTGCAGCAGATGCGGCTCCTAGTACTAAGGAGACAAGTGGGTATTGATAGACTAGTGGTCAACTTTCGAAATGAATGGCGACCTATACAATTGATTGATGAAGGTACACATTGATGACTATATTCACCATTCCCCACAAACTCAATCTTAAGCCGTATACAACCGTTTTCCAAAACATAAGGAACATTATAGCAGACAAGACAAAGACTTACAGGCAAATCGTAGTGGTGCTATGCAATTTACAAGGATTTTTTTACCATAAGAAAACTAAACGAGCAATCAATTACTAAACAACTTGGCTTTGGTTTCATTCGCCCTCACGCTTTCGAGTCTCGCCTGGAGACGCTTTACAAGCTGCGTTTCCTTCGGACCCAGGATGACACTTAACTCAAGGAGGCTCATCTTAGTATTTCTTCCCACACTTCCATCTCTTTTTAAGTGTGTCCAGTAATGCTCCCGAAGATTATCGCGCCTAGAGAAAGACCTGGGACACACTTTGCAGCAATGAAAATTCTCAGTAACATGTACAGTCGTGATGTGGCGTCGAAGGTGTCCCGAACGTCGAAATCTCTTTGCGCATAGACTTGGAGGCTCTTTCTTGTCCATGAGCGGACACTCATAGTACCTTGGCTCCACAGCTGTGTGAAAGGATTTTTTGATCGGACCCCACTTTCCAAGGTCCGTAAGATGAGAGTTTGCTTCATATCGCCGCCTTGTACCATCTGGAAACTCATTTGATAGTTTGAAAACGTCGAGACACGAGTATTCAGACTCTGAACAGCTATTCTTCTCACTGATGTCGATGCTGATTGCCATATTCTGTTGAGAGGGCGTAAATTCTCCAGCCTCAGTCACACAAGAGAGAACTGGTTCGTGATACGATATGCAACTTGGAGTAATTGGAGAGCAAAGCTGTAGCATGAAGTATCGTATGAGTTGCAGGAACGTCTCGTCGTAAGCTGTATGACTGTGGCAAGCCCGTGATAGCCTTCGCAAAGTACACGGAAGAAGATCGAAATCATTGGGTGTACAGAGATTTTCTCGGTGTTGTGTCAAAATCTCAGCTTTGCAGAGTGATTGAGCATGTTCAACGGCCGGCGAGTTGACGGAGAGATGCGTAAGCATATCAATAGACGATGGCGAGGGAAGGTCTTCAATATGGCTGGTAGATGAGCATGCGGACAGCGCGCTATCATCATTGTATCCCTCATGCATGCAAACATCGGGAATATCGTTAGAAATATCCGATAGTATTGTGGACACTGGCGGAAAGGCAGAGTGCTCCAGATATTCAGTTGAACCATGACCAGTTTCCAAGGAAGCAGTCCCGTAGGAGCTTCTTTCGTTATGACGTGTAGTTCCAGAGCTGGCACTACTATGTTCATGAGATGCGGAGGTTATACACAGAACACGTTGATGTTCCATTATGGCGCAGTAAGGCTAATGTTTTTAGTATTGAATGTGACTACTGGTTCAGTAAACGTACCATGTGCCAGATAAATCACGAGGCAACAATACTATGGTATGCAACCAAAGGCCTTTTGCGTTATGATATTAGCCTAGTATTGTGCTGGCAAAAGGACAAGTGTATATAGTGCGATAGCACAACGAACACATGTCATATGTGAAAATGCTGACATGAGGTGTTGCAGACGCACTCGAACTGGTTTTCAATCCAAGTCTTACGTTACCTCTTAAGACTGGATTTTGCCTCTAGGCGCAGCATAAGTAATCCGTATTGACACGAATGAGCCGACTGTATTTCACTTTCCACACACACACACAAAGTTTGACAAGCACGGTCTAATTCAGAGCTCCCTATTACAGAGATTTGACAACCTAGTGGTACATTGGACGTGTAATCCGATTGGTGCTAACTATTTAGTCTGTTATCCCGGAAAACGTAACTTACAAGCTTGAGTCATTGATGAAATCTGTCATTTTAACTCGTGGTCTGCTCTTAAATAGTGAGAAAGCTTATTTGGTCAATTAAGAAGATTCCAAACGATACCTAGCCCACTGCAACTAGACTGTACTATGTGCTTTTGCTGTTGAAGTCGCTCTTCGTCCTTGGCTCGTGCAGCAGCCCGAGCTAATGATGATGACGCAGCTAATCCAGCTACTGAAGCCATCATTAATGGACCATTCAAGGCTTTATCTTATCTACTAACGTAAGTTAGTTAACTACATTCCTTCATAACGGAACAACCGCCGTAACGGACAAAATTGCAGATACTCTGACCTGGTTTGTGCGTGATCGCCACACGGTCTGGTATTTAAACAGCTTTACGCTTGATCCCAAAGCACCTCTGTAATGTATAGAATGCTAGTTAACTATATAATATACCCAGCCTCGCCTAAGCACAAGCATCTAACTAACATCAACAGTTACCTATTCTAAACTTACTGTCAGCAGTTGAGTGTGTAGGAATTATTACGTGTTGTGATGTGTATCCTAACAGGGGCAATTTTAGATACAGCGTTAAGTATCACGGCTTTTCGATGAGAAAGCTAACTTTGAACATCTAACTAGTATTGAGATACCATATATCTGAGCACCGCATGCAATGATTTTAGCCTAGCACAACCTTCACGCCATCGTAGACTGTTACACCTACAGGAAATTAGGCTTCAACAAGCTTCTCTAACTGGTAGGATGACTTACTTCTACGCCAGGCATCCTTTGACCGAGGTGTAGTGATATACCGTATAGTGACGTTCTTGTCCTCTTCGGATCCATGTTTGACGGTCCAAGTACCATCAGAGTTCTCTTGGTAGCCAGAAGAGCGACTAAGAACAAGGAGATCTCGCAGATTACTGTCATGCAATTTGTAGGCATTCCTGACATTGTTAAATTAGTAAACTGGTTAAGGATTATCTGATTCATATGTACATAACACGTACTTGGGCCGGACGAGGAATGATGTAACGTCCATCTCTTCATGGCCGGACTCCCTGTGTACTGGGGCCGGCCAATCATCCGGTCTGGTTGAACGGTCCCCGCGCCTAAGGAGTTCCGTCACAGAGGTGTGGATTTTATTCTTCATAATGAGTTTGTGGCTTGCGAGCAAATCAAAGTAGTGAACGTTACAAAGTGGGCAGCGGTGTATTCATTAAAACTATAGAAACCGCGTTTATATTAGTGAGTCAACTATCGAGCTTGCTGAAGTTATGACAAGTTATATGGCGCTTGAAGCTTATCAGGTAAGCATCATAGTAATAGTTAATGGCAACCCACAAGGCCAAGTACAACGGTCAGCAGGGACTAAAGTAAGCAGAGGGACAGCAAATATGTGAAACAACTTTACCCTATGACCTCTCTATAGTACGAATAATGCTATGTATGTATTCCACCACCCACCACATCCAGGCCTCAGACGCTCTCCATGATTCCAGCATTGGATCGACTGGTGTCTGAATTTCTGGCGTATCCCGTTCTGCAATTCCTGGGCTGTGCGCTTCTGGCACTGCTGTGCTAATAATAGAACAAAGACCAGAGGCCAAATACTGATAGAACGTGCTAGAAGAACATGTCACATGATTGACTCAGGCAGAAGTCACGTGAATATATTTCAGATAACAAGGCTGGCTCTCGGTCGATCGGAAAAGTCGGAAACAAAATGGCCTAACACCAGCGGTATGAAGCCCACTTAGAAACGCTGCTCCTGCTGCAGCACGACTGATATTATTTTAGTTATTGTACGCTTAGAT